TAATAATAATAATAATAATAATAATAATAATAATAATAATAATAATAATAATAATAATAATAAAGTTGGAAGGGACCTTGGAGGTCATCTAGTCCAACCCCCTGCTCAGGCAGGAAACCCTATACCATTTCAGACAAATGGCTGTCCAGTCTCTTCTTAAAAACTTCCAGTGTTGGAGCATTCACCACTTCTGGCGGCAGGTTGTTCCACTGGTTAATTGTTCTAACTGTCAGGAAGTTTCTCCTTAGTTCTAGGTTGCTTCTCTCCTTGATCAGTTTTCATCCATTGCTTCTTGTCCGGCCTTCAGGCGCTTTGGAAAATAGCTTGACTCCCTCTTCTTTGTGGCAGCCCCTGAGATACTGGAAGACTGCTATCATGTCCCCCCTCATCCTTCTCTTCATTAAACTAGACATACTCAATTCCAGCAGCCTTTCCTTATATGCTTTAGCCTCCAGTCCCCTAATCATCTTTGCTTTAGCCTCCAGTCCCCTAATCATCTTTCTCTGTACTCTTTCTAGAGTCTCAACACCTTTTTTACATCGTGGTGACCAAAACTGGATGCGGTATTCCAAGTGTGGCCTTACCAAGGCATTGTAAAGTGGTATTAACACTTCACGTGATCTTGATTCTATCCCTCTGTTAATGCAGCCCAGCACTGTGTTGGCCTTTTTGACAGCTGCGGCACACGGCTGGCTCCTATTTAAGTGATTGTCCACTAGGACTCCGAGGTCCCTCTCACAGTTACTACTACTGAGCAAGGTATCCCCTATACTATACCTGTGCATTTGGTTTTTCTTGCCTAAATGTAGAACCTTGCTTTTTTCACCCTTGAATTTCATTTTGTTAGATGGAATACACAAAAGCCAGATGTATCTGCTTCCTAAGCTTCCCTCTGTAGCCTATACCAGGGATAAGCAACCTTGGCTCTTTTATGACTCGTGGACTTCAACTCCCAGAATTCCTGAGCCAGCATGGCTCAGCTTGGAAACCTCCCCCTTTCCCTCTCAGCATGGCTGGCTGAGGAATTCTGGGAGTTGAAGTCCACAAGTCTTAAAGTTGCCAAGGTTGAGAACCCCTGGCCTATACCAAGGAATTATGGAAGTCCACGCACCTTAAAGGTTGTTGAAGTTGGAGACATAACGGCATATACGGATAATTCTGTTCAAATATATACACGTGTCAATCATACGCCCTTCACCAAGCTCACAGAAACTCAGGTCAAGTCGAGATGATCCGCACTCCATGTAATCTTCCAGGCACGAAAGCCAAGGGACTTGCCTTCCAGGCGGTTTCCCCCTTTTCCACAGGCATTATAGCAATGCAGCCGCTGGACCCCGAAAACGACCCTCGCTTAGCTCGACTGACCCCCCACAAACCAAGCGCCCGGGCGGGACAGGCGAGATAAAACAGGACAGGCGGGGACCGTTGGGCGCCGCTCGCCCTGGCCTACCTCCGAGCTTCAGGTTGCGGTTCGAGACGCGGTCGGCCAGCACCATAGGCAGTTTTGTTTTCATCGGGCGGCGCCTGCCCGGGATCGTCACGAAGTCGGCGTAGCGGTTCCTCCAGAACGATAAACGACCAGGCGAGCCGGCCATGGCGCACCGGAAGAGCGGCCGCCTCGTACCATAGAGCCGCACTCCCGATGCCCAAGGCCGCAGGGGTAGGCCACCTCGGCTCTTTTTTATGACGCGTGGACTTCAACTCCCAGAATTCCTGAGCCGGCATGGCTCCGCTTGGAAACCTCTCCCTTTCCCCTCAGCGTGGCTGGCTCAGGAATTCTGGGAGTTGAAGTCCGCGAGTCATAAAAGAGCCGAGGTTGCCTACGGGACACCGAGGACCCGCGCCGGTGTGCGCCAAAGTCTTCTCGGGTCCGCCAGCTCTCCCTCTGGCCAAGAAGCCGCGGCCGGAGCGGCCGGCCGCGCAACGACCTGGATCCTGAACATGGGGCTCGAAGACAAACTGACTCGGGAGGGGGAAGACTGGAAGGAGCAGCAGCCGCCGCCTCGCGCGACTCCCCCGAACTGGCGCGCGAGCTGGGCGCGAGGAGGCATGTGGGGACCCCTTTGTAAGCGGAGTCCTTTGAAGGCTGATGTGGGGGCGAGGGCTGGAGGGCTCGGGTAGGCCGTGGAGTGACGTTGTGTCCAGTATATAATAAAGGAATTGAATACGTGCAGCCTGGAGGATAGAAGGGAAAGGGGGGCACGTGATTGAAACCTTTACTAAATATATAAGGTTCTAGAACAGTGTTTCTCAACCTTGACAATTTTAAGGCATGTGGACTTCAACTCCCAGAATTCCACAGCCAGCAATGCTGGCTGTGGAATTCTGGGAGTTGAAGTCCACATGCCTTAAAATTGTCAAGGTTGAGAAACACTGTTCTAGAAGGCAGTGTTTTCAATTTTGTTTGTAAGGTTTCCACAGGTAGGCAACTTTGGCTCTTTTATGACTCGTGGACTTCAACTCCCAGAATTCCTGAGTCAGGAATTCTGGGAGTTGAAGTCCACGAGTCATAAAAGAGCCAAGGTTGTCTACCCCAGATTATTTTTGGGTCCCTTAGCTTCAATGCCTATCTCTGTAGTTATCCAGCCGCACTGAATATTCCGATGAAAACTTTACAGTAACAAATTGTGGTTTCATGCCATTCATCAGATTAGTCTCACTCTTCTTTCTGGCTACCAAAAATCTCTTGGGAGACTAACTGGTGGTTGGCTGACATAAGGTTCTGCTAAGATACAGGATCGGGATTGATGGTTTCTATATTTTTGGAAGGCTCCGCACAGCTCCAACAATTTCAGAATCCAGAATTGCTCAGTATGTTTAATGCAGCCTGAAACAATTATTTGCAGTCCTGTCACTATTTCCCTTTTCAGTACGATTTGGTCTCCCAGTGCCAGGTATGACATAGCGTCTGGCTCAAGCGTTTAATGAGCAGTATGGATCATCTTGGCTCAACATACGCATTCGTTTTATGTCTGATAAGTTGTACACGGTATTTTTTAAGCAGCACCAGAAAGTCTTCCTCTTCTAATTCTTCTTCTTGAATCCTATTAGATTTATTTATTACAAGTGAAGGATACTCAAGACTTAAAATAATTGCTTTTCGTAAGGGAAAAACAAGCCTGTACATTAAAAAGATATGGATGGATAGCCATTCATCCTGGAG